CTTCCTAGTGGAGAAGATTCCTGGTATCTCCCAGTGCTTCCTAGTGGAGAAGATTCCTGGTATCTCCCAGTGCTTCCTAGTGGAGAAGATTCCTGGTATCTCCCAGTGCTTCCTAGTGGAGAAGGATTCCCGGTTACCCCCCAGTGCTTCCTAGTGTCCCCCAGTGTTTCTTAGTGGAGACTATTCCTAGTGTTCCCCAGTGCTCCCTAGTGGAGAAGATTCATAGTGTCTCCAGTGCATCCTAGTGGAGAGGATTCCTAATGACCTCAGCGCTTCCTAGTGGAGAAGATTCATAGTGTTCAACAATACTTCCTAATGGAGAAAATTCCCAGTGTCCTCCAGTGCTTCTTAGTGGAGATGATTCCTAGTGTCCCCAGTGCTTCCGCATAGAGAAGATTCCTAGAGTCCCCCAGTGCTTCCTAGTGGAAAAGATTCCTAGAGTCCCCCAGTGCTTCCTAGTTGAAAAGATTCCTAGAGTCCCCCAGTGCTTCCTAGTGGAAAAGACTCCTAGAGTCCCCCAGTGCTTCCTAGTGGAAAAGACTCCTAGAGTCCCCCAGTGCTTCCTAGTGGAAAAGACTCCTAGAGTCCCCCAGTGCTTCCTAGTGGAAAAGACTCCTAGAGTCCCCCAGTGCTTCCTAGTGCAGAAGAAACCTAGTGCCTCCTAGTGCAGCAGATTTTTAGTGTCCCCCAGTGCTTTCTAGTGAGAAGATTCCTAGTGTCCCGGTGCTTCCTAGTACAGAAGATTCCTAGTGTCCCCCAGTGCTTCCCAGTAGAAAAGATTCCTAGTATCCCCCAGTACATCCTAGTGCAGAAGATTCCTAGTATCCCCCAGTACATCCTAGTGCAGAAGATTCCTAGTATCCCCAGCTTCCTGAAAGATTCCTAGTGACCCCCCAGTACTTCCTAGTGTCCCAGCTTTCTGACCCCTAGTAACCCCAAGATTTCTAGTTATCCTTTACCAGTCCCACCTTTGTTCCTAGTGACTTTGCATGTATCATCCAGTGTGATCTCCATACCCCAGTGTTCCCAGTGTCTTCCCGTCTGTCCCCAGTGACTCTGTGTTTCTGCTAGCAATCTGTATCTACACATGGGGACACCAGTTCTGGTGATGCTGGTGACAACCATAGATTTCCCTCACTTTGGAAAATGTTCCTCTCACTTCCTGTTTTGGCAGTGGGACAGAAAGTGAAGGGAAATCTCCACAATGGAATACACAGGGCAAAAAAGACAGGCTGTAACAGGGGCGGACTGACAACTCGTGGGGCCCCCGGGCAATAGGGGATCATGGGGCCCCTGTGTCCTTGCCCAAACTCAAAAAAAGCCTGTGAAAAAGGTACCAGGGGCATCTCATGGGACCCCCTACTGACCCCGGGCCCTCGGGCAGTGCCCGAGCTTCCAAATGGTCAGTCCCCCCCCCCCCCCGACCAGGCTTCATATTTTACCCCATCCCACCCAATGCCAGCATGTTTCTTCATTTCAAAAAAACTGTGCCAAAGTGAACTCACCTTGGGGTGTCCACTTTGTAAATAAATGGTCATTTTGAGGGGTTTCGTACTGCCCTGGAATTTTTGTTTTGATAGAAAGTAAAGGAAACTGTCTTTTTTTATTTCGAAGATTTTGGTCTTTTTTTTCTTTATATGGTAGAAGATAAAAAAACACAAAGCTCTATGTGTCTAAAAAAAAATTGTATCAAATGTATTAGGGAACAGTGTTGCATGGCAGAATAATTGTCACTCAAAAGCAGTGGCATAGCTACAGGGGTTGCAGGGGTCGCAAGAGCGACCCCGCCCCTGATCCAGGCAGCCTGTGCGGCTGGCTCAGTCAGACAATGAACACAGCAAAGTGAAAGCAAAGGTGGGAGCGGTGTCTTCCCAAATACTGTGTTCTCTGCCTCCCCCTAGAGTGCAGTACCCCGCTGTGTAAGGGAAGGGAGGTACTGAGTCTGTACTGCTGATCTTTTCAAAGGCTGCATGTATGTGTGTGTATGTGTGCAGAGCATTCCACCCGTAACACGCTGTAGAGTATTTCAACCTATCACCTAACACACTGCAGAGCATTCCACCCATCCCATGACACACTGCAGAGCATTTCACCCATCCCATGACACACTGCAGAGCATTCCATCCATCCCATGATACACTGCAGAGCATTTCACCAATCCCATGACACACTGCAGAGCATTTCACCCATCCCATGACACACTGCAGAGCATTCCACCCACCCAATGACATACAGCAGAGCATTTCACCCATCCCATGGTACACTGCAGAACATTCTACCCATCCCATGACACACTGCAGAACATTTCTACCCATCCCATGACACACTGCAGAGCATCTCACCCATCCCATGACATACTGCAGAGCATTTCACCCATCCCATGATACACTGCAGATCATTCCACCCATCTCATGCCACTGCAGACCATTCCACCTATCCCATGACATACTACAGAGTGTTCCACCCATCTCATGGTACACTGTAGAGTATTACAACTACTATCCCATGACACACTGAAGAGCATTCCACCCATCCCATGATACACTGCAGAGCATGCCACCCATCCCATGATACACTGCAGAGCATGCCACCCATCCCATGATACACTGCAGAGCATTTCAGCCATCCCATGATACACTGCAGAGTATTCCACCCAAAATGACACACTGCAGAGCATTCCACCCATCCCATGATACACTGCATTGCAACTATCCAATGATACGCTGCAGAGCATTTAACCTATCCCATGACACTGAAGAGTATTCCACCCATCCCTTGACACTGCAGAGCATTTCAGTCAGTGGAGGAACTACCAGGGTCACAAAGGTCACACTTGCAACCGGGCCCTGGTGTTCCACCACCGTGGGTGGACCCTATGAATGGGGCTTGCTACAGAACATGTGTAGGGGTCCCACTGCTGGGGCGTAATAAATAGCCCCACAACAGGAATAAAGGGCCCCAGGCTCAGAAAGAAGAGACTCAGGACCAGTAGATCAGTGTGGCCCTTCATGGTTTCTTGCATCGAGGCCCTGAAGTCTCCAGTTATGACTCTGCTTAGGATCCGTTCACACCAATGCGTTTTCAGTGCTTTTTGCAGAAACGCACACAGTCTATTTAACATGGTTTCCTATATGGGACACGTTCACATCTATGCCTTTTTGGGCCGCTGCATTTTGGGAAAGGGACGGGACTTTTTAAAAGCAAAAAGCACAATAGAGTTCAATGGAGAATTTGCTGCATTTTACATTTCTATTCTGCCCAGCAACAAAAAAAAATGCATTTAAAAAAAAAAAAAAAAAAAAGAGCTAAACAAAAGGCAAAACGTGATAAAAACGCATCATGAACTGCGAAAAGCACTGAGAAACAAACAAAAAGCAAACTGCATAGGTGTGACCAGAGCCTAACCCCCCCTCCCCCCGGTCACACTGATCCCGACTTTGAAATCGTGAGACTTACAGTGAAAGTCGCACGATTTCAATGTCGGATGTCATTCATTTGCCTAGATGTCTGTGCAAGTCACACCAAAAGTAGTGCATGTACTACTTTAGAAATCGGTGCGGCTCCGACCCAAGCTGGAACCGCACCGATACAACCGCTCTAATAGGGTGTGACTTGGCATGCGATTTGCAAGTCGCATGGCATGCAGACCGCATGCCAAGTCCCACCCGGTGCATCCGGGATCTTCATGTATGGCAGCACTGAAGACTGAAAAATGTTCTGCTAACGAACGGGATTACAGACTGGTACTCAAGTGTGCAGTGGCATCCCGAGGCAGGTGAGGGGGGGTGCGTCCCGCACCGGGTGACACCGACCGCACGGGGTGACACCGGACCCGCTCCACAAAAAGGTAAGTTGTAAAGCAAGCCGACGATCCCCGCAGGATGGATGAGATCTGCGGATTGGGGATCATAATGGATCGGAGTCCGATCCATTATGCTCAATCCGCAGAACCGAACCATCCTGCGGGGATCGTCGGCATGCAACCTATACGGGGTGACACCGACCACACAGGGTGAACCTGCTCCAGGAAAATGTAAGTTGTAAAGCAAGCCGATGATCCCCGCAGGATGGATGGGATCTGCAGATTGGGGAGCATAATGGATCGGATTCCGATCCATTATGCTCAATCCGCAGATCCGATTCATTCTGCGGGGATCGTCGGAGGGGGTGACACCAACCCTAGGGATGCCTCTGCAAGTGTGTTTTTGTTGTTTTTTTTTTTTGTACATTTTATTGTAGCATCTTTTATTTCAATCTGTTACATTCAGAAAACAAATCCTAGTTGTACATCAACATTTGCAGAAACATTTTATATATATATACATATTTATTTATTTCAGGTAATTATATAGCGCCATCCATTTACGCCGCACTTTACATATATATTGTACATTCACATCAGTCCCTAACCCTCAAGGGGCGTACAATCTAAGGTCCCTAACTCACATTCATACATACACATACTAGGGACAATTTAGCCACCAGCATGTCTTTGGAGTGTGGAAGGAAACCGAAGTGCCGGGATGGAAACCGAAGTGCAGGCACAGGGAGAACATGCAAACTCCAGGCAGGAGGTGCTGTGGCTGGGATTCAAACCAATGACCCTAGTACTGCCAGGTGGAAGTGCTAACCATTTAGCCACTGTGCTGCCCATACATATATATATATATATATATATATATATATATATTTTTTTTTTTTTTGTTTTTTTTTGTTTTTGTTTTAAACACCATCTATACAGGCTTTAAAAAAAAATGAATAAAGCGTCGTTTGAGCCTCAAAGTTCGCATACAACTGTAATGAATGGTGTACGGTATTCTGGTCATGAACAGGTTAACCCCAAAGCCAGCCTCCAGGTGGTTCATTTTTTTCATGATATTGTTTTGCCTGCTTCTGCTGCTAATAAAGATGGTTAAAAAAAAAAAAAAAAAAAGGAAAGGAGGCAGGTTTTATGGAGGAGGAGGAGGAGGGAGGTGATAGTCATTGTGCTGCTGGTTGTGTGTTGCACCATACAGGAGATGGATAGAGAGAGAAGTTGCAGCCTGGGCACTGTGCTGTGCGTTCTCACAGGAGCCTCCCGGGGGCTGGGCAGGAGCCTGGCATGGGAACTGTGCCCCAGAGTGGCGCCAGGCTCTGCCCTGCTGCTGGTGGCCCGCACAGAGCAGGCTCTGCGTGTTTTGTCTCAGGAGCTGACACTCCAGTATGCAGATATTGAGGTGAGATGGGTGGCAGCAGACCTGGGAACAGCAGATGGGGTAAAGAAGACAGTGCAAGCTGCACAGGAGCTGAACGGACGGGATGCGGCTCAAAGGGTCCTCATTATCAACAACGCAGGTAAGGACGCACCACCACGTCTATTAACCAGCGCTATAAAATCCTTCTGCTACCTAAAGAGCAAATGTGGGGTCGGGGTTTATCTAATGGTCACATTCAATATACAAATAGATTTTATATCATGCGACTTTCATATCTCTTTGCACATTGAAATGCAAGAAAAACAAATGTGACAGCGGCAGGCTTTGGGACAAACAATAAAACTGCTGGGGGGGAGATGCTGCAACAGATGATTAACCACTCGCCTACCGCGCACTTATACCCCCTTATTTACCAGGCCAATTTTCAGCTTTCAGCGCTGTCGCACTTTGACAATTGCGCGGTCATGCAAGATTATACCCATATGAAATTTTTACCATTTTTTTTTTCTCACAAATAGAGCTTTCTTTTGGTGGTATTTAATCACTGCTGGACAATTTACTTTTTGTGCTATATGCAAAAAAATTGCAAAAAATAAAAAAAAAAATTTTTTTTTTTGTTTCTATTATAAAATTTTTCAAACAGGTAATTTTTCTCCTTCACTGATGTGCATTGATGAGGCAGCACTGATGGGCACTGATAGGCAGCACTAATGAGGTGGCACGGATAGGCGGCACTGATAGGCAGCACTAATGAGGTGTCACGGATAGGTGGCACTGATATGCGGCACTGATAGGCGACACTGATAATGGGTACTGATAGACAGCACTGATAGGTAGCACTGACTGACATCACTGCTGGGCACTGACTGGTGGCACTGACTGGCAGCACTGCTGGGCTGCACTGGTGGGTGGCACTGATGGGCACAGGTGGGTGGGCACAGGTGGTGACACTGCTGGGTGGCACAGGTGGTGACACTGCTGGGTGGCACAGGTGGGCGGAATTTGTGTGTGGCACTGCTGGGCACCGATCATCAGGGCACTGGTGATCAGTGACCCTGATGATCGGTGCCGATCCCCGCTCTGACAACTGCCGGTTTTCAGCAGTACTTTCCTCACGATCTGACAGCGTGAGGAAAGTGCAGCCGAGAACCGGCATTTGCATTTTCCCGGTGATCAGCGTGTCATTGGACACGGCTGATCACATGGTAAAAGGCCGCTGTGATTGGCCTTTTACCACGTCAAGTGATCAGCTGTGTCCGTAGGACACAACGATCACGGAGATCGCCGGGTGCGCGCCTCGGGGGGCACGCAGGAGAGTGCGTTCTGGGAGGACGTCATAAGACGCCCCCCCCCCAGAACTGGCCGGCCGCAGTGCAGCCGTCATTCAGCTATCTGCGGTCGGCAATTAGTTAAAAAAAAAAGAAAAGAAAAAATGTAAAGTGCATCTACATACAAGAACAAAAAGTTTCTATTTTGCCGCTCACCAGTAGATGTCCTGTTTGTTTTAAACAAAATTAAAAAAATTATATTTGGACCAAATTTTTGTTATTCATGTATGTATCCGAATTTCAGATAAAGGCTACGTTCACACTAGCGTTGTGTGCAGGCGGCAGAAAGGCATTTGGGAAGCGTTTTTACCGCTTCCCAAACGCCTCTGACAATCCTACACATTACAGCACATGGTGCTGTTCTAACGGGAGCGTTTGCATCGCGGCAAAACGGATGCCTCTGGTCGAGTCAGGAGGTGTTGAATCCTCCTATTCTAGTCTATGGTGCCGCTCCGCAAACGCCCGGCCGGCGTTTGCGACGCGGTTGCGGGGCGTTTGCGGAGCGGTGACACCATTCAAACTGCATTATAGGCGTTTGTGGGGCGTTTTTAACGCTCGGCAAACGCCTAGCAACCGCGCATGCGGCATTTGCGGAGCGTTAAAAAAAGCTCCACAAACGCCGGACCAACGCTTGCCAAACACTATAGGTGTGAACGAGCCCTTACAATAGTTTTAAATGAATCCGAAATAACAAAGAAATTTTGTCCGAAATTCAAATCGAAATTTGAAAATGAAATCAAATTTGAAAACAAATCCTAAATATAAACACGTTGCCGGATATTGCGGATTTCCTTCAAAGACTGTATTAATGTTAGAATATAGCTGTCCTCTGAAAATTTCAAAAAGAATAGACTAGAACATTGGCAGAAACATTATTTGTAGTGACTGACTGAGTTGTCAGTCCCCCCTGGTCATAAGGACCATGACTTGAGTTATCTGGATCCATTTCCCCCATAAAATGGATAGTGTTGACCCGTCTGCCATACTACAGAAAACGTTTAGTGACTGGCCTTTGTCTTTTTCTTCCACAGGGTCTCTAGGTGATGTCAGCAGGTCTTTTGTGGAATTTATGGACCCTCTAGAAGTGGACAGATATTTCTCCTTGAACGTGTCTTCAGCGCTGTGCCTGACCTCTTCCCCTGCTGACGGTTTTCCAGAGACGGCCTGGGCTACAGCGGCTGGTGGTCAACATCTCATCCCTGGCAGCCCTGCAACCGTTCAAGTCCTGGACGCTGTACTGTGCAGGGAAGGCATCTCGGGATATGATGTTCAAGGTGTTGGCCGAGGAGGAGACAGACATCCGCGTACTCAACTACGCACCAGGTTGTACATGGTGCACAAAAAAATTCTGCTTTGCTAAACAATAAAGGGGGCTTGATGCTGTCTCAAGAAATTTAAATATACACGGCTCTAAAAAATGAAAGGAAGACTTCTTAGTCAGAGTCCAGCATCAAGTCAGTGAAACTCCTGGGATATTGATCTGGTCAGGTAAGTAGCAGAGGGGGTTGTTAATCAGTTTCAGCTGCTTTGGTGTTAATGAAATTAACAATAGGTGCACTAGATGGGCAACAGTGAGACAACCCCCCAAAACAGGAATGGTGTGGCCACTGACCTTTTATTCCCTACTCCTCTTTTCTGACTGTTTTTCACTAGTTTTGCATTTGACTAGGGTCAGTGTCACTACTGGTAGCATGAGGCCATACCTGGACCCTACAGAGGTTGCACAGGCAGTCCAACTCCTCCAGGATGAAACATCAATACGTGCCATTGCCAGAAGGTTTGCTGTGTCTCCCAGCACAGTCTCAAGAGCATGGAGGAGATTCCAGGAGACAGGCAGTTACTTTAGGAGAGCTGGACAGGGCCGTCAGCAGGACCGGTATCTGCTCCTTTGTGTAAGGAGGAACAGGATGAGCTCTGCCAGAGCCCTACAAAATGACCTCCAGCAGGCCACTGGTGTGAATGTCTCTGACCAAACAATCAGAAACAGACTTCATGAGGGTGGCCTGAGGGCCCGACGTCCTCTAGTGGGCCCTGTGCTCACTGCCTGACACCATAGAGCTCGATTGGCATTTGCCATTTGAACACCAGAATTGGCAGGTCCACCACTGGCACCCTGTGCTTTTCACAGATGAGAGCAGGTTCACCCTGAGCACATGTGACAGACCTGAAAGGGTCTGGAGAAGCCGTGGAGAACGTTCAGCTGGGCAATGACACCCTGACTGCCATTAGGTATCGGGACAAAATCCTTGGACCCATTGTCAGACTCTACGCTGGTGCAGTGGGTCCTGGGTTCCTCCTGGTGCACGACAATGCCCAACCTCATGTGGAGAGAGTATGCAGGCAGTTCCTGGAGGATGAAGGAATTGATACCATTGAATGGCCCCCACCCTCGCCTGACCTAAATCCAATAGAACTCCTCTGGGATGTCATGTTTCGGTCCATCCGACGCCACCAGGTTGCACCTCAGACTGTCCAGGAGCTCAGTGATGTCCTGGTCCAGATCTGGGAGGAAATCCCCCAGGACACCATCTGAGGTCTCATTAGGAGCCTCCCCCGACGTTGTCAGGCATGCATACAAGCACGTGGGGGCCATACAAACTACTGAGGACCATTCTGAGTTGCTGCAATGACATTTCAGCAATATGGACTCACCTGCTGCATCATTTTTTCACTTTGATTTTCGGGGTGTCTTTGAATTCAGTCCTCTGTAGGTCGATCATTTTCATTTCCATCAAACGATGGGGGATCCTTACATTCCTCACACATTACCCCGTCCATGTCAGTATAGAGATCCAGCAGGAGATTTGTCCCCATTGAGATCTGATGGGTTTTCAAAGTTTTCCTTTCATTTTTTTGAGCAGTGTATATAATATCTATTCTATATAGGTAAAGATTTATATACAGAAGGTGGATCCTTCCTTCTTCGTTAAGTGAACCAGGATATGGGATTTCCAGTATTAGAATTCTCTTCACAAGCGTTCAATGAGCCTTTCGCTGCTGGGCCATTTTTAAAAATGTTTTGCACACATTGAGTCCCCCGTTCACACTAGTGAACTAGTCTCCATTTACATCAATGCAACATGGTTCAGTGCCATTGTTTTGAAAAGGTGTAGTACTGTTTAGTTCATTTTTGTCTTTGAAGGGAGGACAAGAACTATGACCCTATAATTGTATCTAGAATTATTCCTCATGCTACATGGGTCCGGGGAGAGCAGACATAGGGAATGCGGGGTCCGGGGAGAGCAGACATAGGGAATGCGGGGTCCGGGGAGAGCAGACATAGGGAATGCGGGGTCCGGGGAGAGCGGATATAGTGAATGCAGGGTCCGAGGAGAGCGGATATAGTGAATGCAGGGTCCGGGGAGAGCGGATATAGTGAATGCAGGGTCCGGGGAGAGCGGATATAGTGAATGCAGGGTCCGGGAGACCGGATATAGTGGATGCAGGGTCCGGGGAGAGCGGATCTAGTGAATGCAGGGTCTGGGGAGAGCGGATCTAGTGAATGCGGGGTCCGGGGAGAGCGGATCTAGTGAATGCGGGGTCCGGGGAGAGCGGATCTAGTGAATGCGGGGTCCGGGGAGAGCGGATCTAGTGAATGCGGGGTCCGGGGAGAGCGGATCTAGTGAATGCGGGGTCCGGGGAGAGCGGATATAGTGAATGCGGGGTCCGGGGAGACTGGATATAGTGAATGCGGGGTCCGGGGGGAGCGGATATAGTGAATGCGGGGTCCGGGGAGAGCGGATATAGTGAATGCGGGGTCCGGGGAGACCAGATATAGTGAATGCAGGGTCTGGGGTTTAGTAACACTCTAACATACGACTTTGAACACACACTCTCCTGTGCTCCTTTCATGCGCCTTTAATGCTACTTGAGTGCCAGGGAGTGTAAAGTTGCATCCAAGTCACACTACATGAACAGAACTTTTCTATAAAGGTGCAAAATGCAGCAAAGTGGCAGAAACACAACACTTGCATTTTTGGTGTGGGTCCAATGAAGTCTATTACACGCAAAAACGCAATCTGCTGCAGGAAAAAAAAAGTCCCCGACCCTTTCCAAAAAACACACCGACTGAAAACGCACAGCTGTGAACTAGATCCATAGGAAACAATGGTTAATGGACTGTAGTGCGTTTCTGCAATCTGGAAAATGCACTGAAATCCGCATAAGTGTGACGCTAGGGTGACGTAATGATTTGCATGGCTCTGCCCTCCATCCTCAGGAAATCCCTGGGCTGAATGTGTGATGACCTACAATGCCTGTTTGGACTGACTTCTTCTTCCCGTATCCGGCAGGGCCACTGGATAACGACATGCAGGCAGAAGCACGGACACGCACCAAGGATCCTGACTTGCGTCTAATGTTCGCTAACAAGAAGAAAGAGGGAAATCTCGTTGACTGTCACATGTCTGCCCGCAAGATGCTGGACATCCTCCAAGCAGACGCCTATAAATCTGGCGATCATGTGGATTTTTTTGATTGATGCCGAGCTGCGATCTGCGTTCAGCGATAATTAGCAATCTTCTGTTTTTGTAAAAGGGATGTAAGTGATAGATAAAAGTGGTTTATCATTGCACAGCTGCAGACAAGTCGTGATGATGGGGGGTATTCACTAAAAACGGAGAATGCAGAATCTGGAGCAGCTCTTCACAGAAACCAATCAGATTCCAGCTTTTAATACCAAAGCAGGGGTGGACTGACCATTCAAGCACTGCCCGAGGGCCCGGGGTCAGTAGGGGGCCCCATGAGATGCCCCTGGTACCTTTTTCATAGGCTTTTTTGAGTTTGGGCAAGGACACAGGGGCCCCATGATCCCCTATTGCCCTGGGGGCCCCATGAGTTGTCAGTCCGCCCCTGGACACGTTCACATCTCCGCGTTTTCACCCGATGCATTTTTTTTTTTTAAAAAGGGTCAGGGACTTTTTTGAATGCAAAAAGTTGCGTTTTTGGTTCTATAGACTTCAAACGGAAGCGTTGCAGAAAAGCATGTGGTGCGTTTTTGATGCGTTTGGCATTTTAAATCTGCCTAGCAACAAGAGAATTAAAAATGAAAAAAAGCAAAACGCATCAAAAACGCACCACATGCTTTTCTGCAACGCTTCCGTTTGAAGTCTATAGAACCAAAAACGCAACTTTTTGCATTCAAAAAAGTCCCCGACCCTTTAAAAAAAAAAAAAAAAACCCCCGCAGGTGCAAAAATGCAGAAACTGCTCAAACGCAACCTGCGTAGGTGTGAACCTAGCCTCATAGTAAATCCCCCCCCCCCCCCCCCATTAAATGACATGGTATTTTCTTGTATCGCTCAGGGATACATTAGTAACATCTCCCCATCTGGAATCCCAACAATCACAAAGCCAAATGATGGTGTCACCTCCCCAATGGATAGTCCAGTGGGTATTCCAGCTGCAAAGCCGGCCGTACACCTTACAATCAGGTTGAACAATTAGTTACATAGTTAGTCTGGCTGAAAAAAGACAAAAGTCCATCCAGTTCAACCATTCAAAAAAAAAAGTTATACTCCTACACCCACAGCTGATCCAGAGGAAGGCAAACAAAAAACAAGCAAAGCATGATCCAATTTGCACCTGCAGGGAAAAAATTTTCTGATCCCCCCGAGAGGCAATCGGATATTCCCTGGATCAACGTTACCTATAAATGTTATATCCAGTTATTAGGTCTACAGGCAAATGAGTCGTCTCAAGCTGGCCATACACGGATAGATTTTTCATTCGACAGCAGTGACGGGAAAATTCGAAGGGGCAGGAAGGAAAACTTTCTCGATCAAACAAAATTTTCAGCCAGTGTATGTGGTTATCGTTCAGAAATTACATTCGTTTTAAAACCGCTTCCGTGCCGCCCTATAGCAGGAATACTGCTACAGGGCGGCACGGGTGCGCAAAATCACATATATATATATAATATAATAATTTTGCACTTACTTGTAGGGGCATGTGCGCTCTCTACCCGCACTGCCTCGGCTGTCGATTATTGGGTCCCGGCCGTGATTCCCCACCGGCACCCAGCAATCTCTGAGTATTACCGACGGGGGGAGAGACCTGTGTATAAACAACACAGGTCTCTCCCCTGTCAGCTCCTCCACACTGCTTTGTATGGCTCTACAAAGCAATGTGCTTACAGTAAAACAGCACACAGTTAACCCTTTGATCGCCCCAGATGTTAACCCCTTCCTGCCCAGTGCCATTAGTACAGTGTCATTGCTTTTTATTAGCATTGTATTGGTGTCACTGAGGATGTCAGTGACACCAAGTCAGTTTCCCCCCAGTGTCAGAATGCCCGCCGCAGTCCCTCTATAAGTCGCTGATCTCCATTACTAGTAAAAAAAAAAAAAAAATCCAGTATATA